TGAACCGAGAGAAACATTTTTCAAATATCGAGCAGACAAGAACGCTTGTTCGAGTACATAGGATACTTTTCGCTTCTTACGCTTACCGTCAAATCTCCAATTACAACCAACACAGGTTTCATGCATTATCCACTAGTATATGGCCAGCAACAAAACGAAACTATTAGCACATTTCACAATAGTCAACGAATTCTCTTTTTTCGTTCCACGTCACAAGTGTCAAATTCATCCACGTCTTTTCCTATATAAAACTTTTTTCGTTCCTGTCGAATCGTCGTGACCAAACATGCTACATCTATGATAAACAATCACATTTTTATCATACATGCATCCCCATATATCAACGGGTCCGGTAAACATGCCTGAACGCAACAAAAAACGTATTTTCGCGTTTTTCCTGAATCCCAGACTAACTCTACTGTTATTATCACTAACAAACGCCAACAGGTACGGAACAACCAAAGATCCTATGCTCTTTTGCAAATCGACGAAGATATTTTGAATATATCGGTTTGTAGAGAATTGAAAGAGCTATAAAACGCACTATTTTAGAAAAATGGGCTTTTTCGTTTTTTCGAAAAAAGTTAGCTTAATGATCTCCAGGTCGCATTTTGAGCAAAAAAAAAAGTGGGCCGATTCTTTAGCTTCTACGGATCCGTCCTTTATTGATATTTGCGAGACATTCAGAATAAAAAGAGCGTAAGATTGATGAAAAATGCAATGAACAATAAAGCAATCAACTGCATCACTCATAATAAATGCAAATGCTCACTTCATCATTCATACTACTTTCATACTACTGACTTCATGAAGTCAGTAGAATGAAGTCAGTAGATTCATACTACTGACTTTTATCAACAGCATGTGTGTGACAAAGCTATAAGATGACAAGCATTCTTCGAAGTTTCATTTATACTGAACCACGCACTCTTTCAAAGTAGCATTATCGAAGAAAAGGTACTTTATGCAGTTAATACCACATTGTGCATATTATTACTGTTTACAGATGTGTTTTCTTGACCATTAGTTGAAAACCACAATTATGAATCACACAGATCATGGAAAAGTAAATGTTTCTCTTGCTGCAATAAAGATGGACTTGATAATGATTATTTTCTTTTTTTCTTCTTAGTTTAACTTTGTTCATTTCCTTTTTAACATCATAAAAGTGATGTGGCAACTTGTTTTCTAGGTATGACTATCTTGATCAAAATAGTTTATGATATATACAATGACAAATGTATACTGTATCAGCATGGTGTAAATTGGAAATTTTTTGTAATGCCTTGTTTAACTTGGAATTTTCTGTGCACAGCATTCCTCAGCTTCAGAGAGAAACCTTGTCATACGAAAAACAAATAAAAGAACAGAATGGCATAAATTTTATATAACTGCTTACACAAATCTTCAGAATCGTCTACGGTTTTTTTAACCTCCAACCGTCAACATAAAAATATTTTAATAATTAGCTGAAATTTTGGGTCAGTAATATGCAAAGGATGCGCGTCATTTTCGGCAAACTCCAACAAATTCACCTCACTTTCATTTTCTCTGTATACGATGGACATAGGTGTAGCTCTATTTTGCCTTCTTTATCTTCCCAGTCTAAACACGACTGATGAATCCTATCTTCTCTAGTGTCCCACCATTGGAACGTTCCGTTGAGTCTTTTTATACATGGAGAAAGTATTTCTCACCAGTTTTTATCTATTAAAACTCGAAAAACGTGGTATATGACACATACACATATAAACTGTACTTGTACCTTCTTCTGAACAACAAAAAAAGTTTTGTCTTTTCAATACAAAAAATGTATTGAAAGGGTGAATTCCCGTTTCGTCGAAAGCTTAATTAATATTCCTATTTCGTCGAAAAAATGTTTAGAGCTTTCTTTCTAGTGTTCCCGTTTTGTCGAAAATAAAGAAGCTTTAGCTGTTCCTGTTAAATATTAAAATAAAACTAGAACTAGAATATAGATTATTCTAATTAATAGACTGTATTGAAAAAAGTAGAATATAGATTATTATTAATTAATAAGGCTTTTTTAAACAGACTAATTAAAAAGAATGCTGAATTATTTCAAATGTTTCTGTTGAAAAAGTACATGCGTACATTATTAGAGAAAGAAACAACACAAACGAAAAATAAATGAAAATCAAAACTTTTTGATACCAATTAATCGCATCACTTGTTCAAGATATTCTTCCAGTGTTAATGTCTGTTGTTTATAACGATTTTCTAAATCGTGTAATCGTGCATTTCGATTCACAAAACTTTTTTCTTGGTGGTATTGTACCAGTGACTGTATGACGTGATGATATTGCTGAATTATATGCATAATCGTTTTGAATAGCACGACTATACATACAAAAATGTGGATGTATGATATAATTTAAATCCGTATTTAAACGATGATGCCAACCTTCTAAACTATTATTTGTTCTTGAACTTTTAAAATCAAAACAATTCCACAGTGATAAATCGAATAACGCATCATTATCCACCCACGTACTTGTTACATAATCGTAAAATACCTCAATATGCTCAATATCTTGAACTTGATCCATAATCAATGTCCATATTTTCCCAACTTCTTACAGTGGCATGAATGCAAGTGCATATGTTTTCTTGATTGTGCGGTTTCTTCATACTTGGTGGATTCGATCCATATTGTATAGCATGCCCAGAACAGGAACGGCCTTCACATTTCCAATAAACCATAGTATTCACAATTTTGTCTTGGATGTAACGAAAAGTATCAAGTAAAATAAAATTGGTTTCTTACCCTTACTTTCAACAATAGCTAACATGAAATACAGTGCAAGATATATCAGAGAAATCATTATGTTAAAGTTTAATACAAATAGAATACATAGTGATTAATTTCCGTTTCTAACTACATGTATATATACTTCATTTAGAGTAATTCAGCATTCTTTTTAATTAGGCTATTTAAAAAAAGCTTATTAATTAGAATAATCTATATTCTAGTTCTAGTTTTATTTTACGACGAAACAGGAACAGCTAAAGCTAACACTAGAAAAAAATGTTTTCGACGAAACGGGAACTAACCATTGAAAGATATATGTGTATCTAAGTTATATGTCTGTTGACATTTGCTTCACATTTCTTTTTCAATAAAAGAAAAAAGAGAAAAGAGAATATAACTATTCAAAATGCGAGAATAAAACTTATATTGTTCTACCATTGACAAAATGGCGGAACAGACGGAAAATTTGGTTTAGTCTGGTATATTTGAAAACGCATAGTAAAGTAGCCTAAAAGGGTAAACACACTCTGTCCGACCTGACGAACTCGAAACTGGCTTTGCATCGCGTTGAGAACAGAGTCAAGAGCAAGAATGGCGGAAGAAAAAAGTTTTAAGGGCAGATTTCTTTAGGTGATGATGATAAGGCTAATCGTAATGAAAGCGAATCGACTGTTAGAACAGCAGCAGAGGACGATGACAAAAACGATTATGATATAGAAGACATTCTTTAACCAGTATTGTCAAACTAAAAACAATTTTCATGTGTTTTAACTGCTGTAACATGACATGTTAGTAAAGGCAGTGGCTTCGCAGATTTGTTTGAGCGTTTTATTCGCATGCACTGTTATACGTATGTGATTTAATAATTAGAAACATGATGTTTTGAAATAAGATAATGTACATTTACCTAAGTAGGAAAATACACACTACTCTCTAAAAAAAGAAGGTAGCTGGATTTGTTACTTAGAGATTCCAAAAAGAGTATTTCGGCGTGGAAATACCCTTTTTTGGTTCTGTACGATGCAAAAGTTTTTTAGAGAGTACTATTCATTATTTTTGTCTCTTTTTAACACCTCTGTATTTTCGAGCTGACTTATGGTTTATAAATACCAGACTTTGAAAATCTTCAGCGGATTTTTAGATACTCGAAACTGGGGTGGGATGACTGATGAGAACTTCAGAGCTAACTGGAGTATGAGTCATCGATTATACTAAGCTTTCTGGTAATGTTTACATGCCAATAAAGAAGGTTAAAAAACTGAATGTAGACCTTTTTTTCGAAAACATACAATTTTAGGCTAACTAAAACCTTTGTACCTCACTTAAAATCGATTCAAACTATTTCAAAATACCAGAATACACCTAATTTGTCCCACAACGACAGGCTGAGAAATACAGAGATCTCACTTTTATAAGCTAAAACATTTGGCTGGATCTCTGAAAAGGCTTTTAGCACCAATCGCACTTTCGTCCTCTCGTGTTTTCATAACTAAAAGGTGCATAACTTAAACAAGTGTTAAAACCGCTTCAATCTTTTAAGGCAAAACTCTCCTGTTTCGATCTCTATAGAGTAGAAACGCTTTTTTTGTTTACTGAGTCATTTTGCGATCAGTGTCAGCTATCATAGACCATACCTTAAAGAATGATCCCATAGAATATCAGTGTAACTTGAACTACTGTTTCAGATGATCTGTAGACGATTCGTGCAACACATGAGATTGAAGCGAAAAAAATTCAAAGAAACTCTCATAAAAAGTACATTCACATTGTCAGCTGGAAGTCATGTTTTGTGCAATCTTTTCCGGATACGACTGTAGCTTTTAAGTCTAGTCTCATGGAATACATTGTCCAGTATTTAAAATCATCCTAGTTTGTGAGTAAGGTATAATCAAGTAGAAATATGTAGAAGTATCCTTGTATAGTTCAAGAATGAAGAATCTAACAGTAAAAATTGGTAATTGTAATGTCAAATACAGGCTACCATTACACTGAAACATTCACTATATTCAAAGTATCATCCATTTAAAAGGAATCCTATGAAATCTGTGTACTGTATGTTATTTGACAAAGGTGGAGAACTGAAAATTTACTGAGCTAGAGTAAAAGCTTCAACTCATCTAGCCGTGGTAAAAGAAAAAGAGATTCTTACTTCTGCGATGATTGTCTAATAAAAATTTTGGAAAACCATGTTCAGTGTTTCTCAAACACAAAAGATAGCCTTGAGATAGTGCTTTCTACGCATTTTTGAGATTAGTAAACATCCAAAATGGGTGAATATTTACTTTCGGTAAAAGCGATAAAATCATGTCTTACAGAGAAAACAGAAGATTTGAAAACAGGCAAAAACGCTCATAATTCAAATTTCTTTCCATTGTGAGCTAAATTTGTACATTTTTAAATTTCCATTTGCCACACCAGTATATTTTGTTCTACGATTTTGATTCTGCAAAGTTTATGAAATTTTTATAAATCAAACTCTAATTGGCAAGGACTGATTGTGATTAAGAACAGAAAACGACGTGCTACGCACACTTCGTGTTTCATGTTGTAGAGAGGCCAAATTATCTGCTTACAATCATCTTCTGAAGCTTTTAAATGATATGATGTGAATTTATGACATGAGCTTTTTGTCTATTTTAAATCTTCTGTTTTTGTCTATAAGACATGTGCGACATAATTTTATCGCTTTTTTCGAAATTCACTCATTTCAGACGTTTACTAATCTCAAAAATGCGTAGAAAGCACTATCTCAGGACTGTCTTTTGTGTCTGAGAAACGTGGAACATGCTTTTTCAAAGTTATTATTGGATAGTCATCTCAGAAGTAACAATTTCTTTTTCTTTTACCACGTATAGATGAATTGAAGCTTTTACTCTAGCTCAGTAAATTTTCAGTTCTCCACCTTTGCCAAATAACATACAGTATACAGATTTCACTGGGGTTCCGTTTTAAATTGATAGCAATATTTGTACTTTTATTGATTTATAATTATGATAAATGTCAAGTAAAATGAGGTTGTTCTACTAGCATGTTAGATTTTTTGTACAATCTAATAGTTTAGAAAAAAAATCTAGAAGAGAGAAACTCATAATAAAATATTACCTCATTCTCTGCAGTCTACAATTAATATGAACGATGGAAAAGAAAAACAATCTTTTATTTAGCTAAAACATCGTTTTCCTGATAAATAGTTTATACGATCATATAACTATATTTATTCATACTGGTTTTTTACTCGCTATTCTATTCTGTTAGGTGTGCTACAACGAAAACTATAACGGATGTCACTTTTTTTCTTGTTGTTCTTATGATGAGAAGAAAGAAACGAATGATATTCATAGATTTCTTCTTTAGTCGTATAGTACGCGTTCTACTTAGTATACAGGACGATTTGATTGAATAAATACATTCATCCATTTGCTTCCCTGGGTAAGATACTTTTGGATTTTCTTTCCTGTTTGATACATATCGTGCAGGGTGACACATATATTGTATAATAACAAAAATATTTTACTATAGTTGTTTTTTTACGAAAAAAATGAAACTAAACTTAAAGAAACTGATAATTGTAAAACTTACAATAATAAAATAATGATTCTGATCATTATTACGAACTTGAGTATAAAGTGACGCACTCCAGATATAATAAATACTTTTTGTTCCTCACATTTGATGTCAATAGTATAGTCAAATATATATTTGAGTAGAGATTGAAACGTTATACGTTTTATGAAATAAACGTTCTATCTGTCATGCTCTTAAAGGACACGTGCGAGCCTCAGTCGTTCAATTGTTTCTGATCAGTCAGATATAGTGCGGATTATAGACAGCAAAGCTATGGACTTAACTGAACATTTTTTGCGTTCATGGACTCCAACTGGACTGGATTTAAACTTTCAAGACCATGAACTGGTCTAGACTCGAAAAAAAATTTCACTTGGGCCAAGGAATAATCAGTAAAACAACATATTGTTTTTGTATTGTGGACTGGATTGAACTACTTTTTTAGAGTCCATGGCTGAAAAAACTGTTTTTCATGGACTCGCAAGAGACTGGACTAGACTTTTTTTGTCCATGGACTGGACTGGACTCAGAATTTTGAGTCCTTACGAGTTGTGATAGACAGATGACTATATTATCTTCGTACGTCTAAGGCATATTGTGACGTGAACGAACAGTACACTCGTGAAATTCAACCAATCATCTGTGATAATATGTAAAGCAGTGAAAAAATCATATATATGTTAGAATGTGACAATATGTTAAGTTTTTTACATCTCAATGTCATTTGTTGTATATGTAAGATTTCCTTATAAATCATCGTCAACCAAAAGTTACGCATGATTGATATTAAACTCAACGTTTACACAGCTAACCATCCGTCAGACAATAGAAAAAATGATCAAACGACTGAAAAGTATATGAAAATATTCAATTTCATATTACATCTGTGACATTACCCACCAACCTATCCAAAAAAACAGACATTCCGTATGTTTCTGACACATGTGTTGACAACTCTGATCTAGTTTCTTTAATAGCAATGACAGTTGTAAAGCTAAAACAGTTATTTTTGCATGTCCTAAAAAAAACATAAATAGAAAGTGACTGGGCGTGAATTATTCCACTAAAAACACTATAATTTACACAGATTTGAAACATCCATGATAGATGGAATGAGGAACAAATAAGGAAACGCGATAATCAAGACTAATCTTTTGAGGCAATCTCGCTTGACTAGTTAGTATAAACAAATCTAAGATAACAGATAGTTTGAAAGAATATTTTGCTCTTAGGCTAATCGGTATAGATCTCGGAGTTTTACAAAAAAGTGGGCTTGAATGCATTCTTTTTTTAAGATAGAAAATGCTATTTAAAGCAGAAAGATTTATTTCCAGAATCGAGATCGTTCACATTTGTTATTCATACAATTTTAGCATTCAAAATTTCG